CAAAAAAAAAAAAAAAAAAAAAAAGAAAATTGTCATGGGCAAAGAAAAAGCCAGAAACACTCTACATGCGTCAGTTGACCTACCAGAGAAAAGTATGCATAGGGAGATGTTTGGCAACAAGATACAATCGTGAGCGGTTGTGCTCTTGATTTCAGTGTCTTCCTGTCTCTGCTGAGCAACAGTTGCTTTGCAAACCGGAGAACTCTTAGCAGGACACAGTTAACCTTGGCACCCCTCAAGTGGTTTCAACAGCAGAGTACTTCAGGCCATTTGTAGTCCACGTCCTTTTCTTATCAGGACATTGTTTGGCTTCCGTGCAAAGGCTGGTCAAGACTCCCAGTGGATATCATAGTGACGAATGTTGGGAGTCACAGGGAATCTGATGAGCCAGTGGGTGCTCAGCATGAAATGAAAACAAAGCCTCAAAGTAAGTTTGCCATGAAATAGCAGAGAGTAGAAAGACAGGGGGCTGATCACTGTGGGGGCAATGCCACCTCTGAGGGGAACAGGGCATGGGGTTGGCACATAAATACAGCAGCATGGATCCAGGCGCTGAATGGGAGGCAATGTGGGTGGTCTCCAGTCTCCTCAACTGTTATGAGACCAAGAGGTGTTGTCTTAGAAGATGCTTCTTGTTTTGGCCAAGTCATATTCGTTCTACCGTGCTCTGGAACTTGAGTCTTCAAATCCTTGGCCAGAGGAAGCGGGTGGTGTCAGAGTAGACAAACACCTTCAGGGGATTGAAGAGGCTTGCAAGGGGTTACGTTTCCCAGATCTGGGCTTCAGGACAGTCAGTCATCAGCAAATCCTGCCACCACCTGCTCTAATCCTCAGCCCATCATGCCCCAACTTGGAGGGCTGACATCAAGGAACCTCTTGTTTTCCCCTGCCCCATCTGCACTACTGAAGTGTAACAACCAGATGTGTATAATAGAACAGTTCATTGATTTTATATCAAAAGTAGAGGGGATGGCAATGGGAGACCCAGTCTTCGTGACTGAACAGCTTAACATTCAATTCCTTTCTCTAAGAGAAGCTATGAAATCTTACATATTATTTAAAGTTAAGCAATTCAACGTAAAGGAAGTTAGGAGGCAACATTTACATATGCAGGCACGTTTATATTTTGCTTGTGTTCCAGTTTAGGTCACTGGTTTCCATTTTCAAGCAATTTACTTGAAGAGCCATTGCACTGGCCTGATGTTCAGCATCATGGACTTCTTTGATAAAGATCAAATCTCCATTTTCGCTACTGTTTCACTGTCCCTCCTAGTCTTCAATTCTTGCCAAGAATTTTCACAACCCAGCAGAACAAAACAAAACCAACAAAAATCCTGAAGAAGTGCCCTTGTAAAAGACAAAGGAGATTGCAGGTCAGTTAGGACTCTTGCTTCTCTATAACTCAAGTTTTCTGGGATCCATTCTGGAGTAGGGAGAGTTCATGGTTTAAGTCCCAAAGCAAAGAAATGATCTATCCTTAGATTAAAGGACTGATGTTTCCTTTTGAAGGAATCTTGATTTTTTTAAATTCACTTAAAAATTCCAAATGGACAAACTCAAGATGTTATTGATAGTTCAGTATTAAAATAAATAAATAAAATTCCTGATTTACAATTGAATAAATTATTTTCTCAGTATATTCTGGTCCAGTCATGGAGTGTGCATTTTCTCCCAAAGATGTTCAGAATTGTCAATTGCAGAATTTTAAATACTTAGATTCCAAATAGTCCTTGTGTCCTTCTAAGAATTTGTCCACTGTTACAAAGATAGAACGTGGTTGAGATTCGCTCACTTTTGTAACAATGAATGCTTATAAAGAGCTTCCCAAAGTGATACGCTGAAGTAATTAAGTGCCAGTAGAATAAGGCTTGCCCCTGAAGGTCTGGGTGGGGCACAAGGGCAGAGGGAGAAAACAGTGCCATAACCATATCTGGTGGTTACTAGTCCTGACCTCTGGGGAATATATCTGGCCAAGGGAGCCCTGGGAGAGACTTGCTGAATTTCCAGCAAGACTGGGTGGGTGTATTTATAATAAATACACAAATTGAAGTGGAGCAGCCTGATGTAGTGTGGTGCATGGGATATGCAATAATTCTCTCATAGCAGAGAATTATTCCCATTTTGTAGATGAGCAAAGTGAGCTTCAGAAAGGTTAAGCCACCCAGCTGGGAAGCAACTGAGCTGAAGCTCACACCAGAGAAGCTGATGAGGATAAATGTGTTGACACCATGCATATGGAGGGCCATGTTTCCTATCAAGGAAAATGCTGCTTTATAGAAGAATCTGATAAAGGGGAATTTTTGCCATAATAAGTAATATTTTAAAAGCTAGGTAAGCTCCTAGGCCCGTACCACTTCCCAATTTTTCTGCACGAAACCTGCCCCAAGTGCATTAAGTTAGTTAAAATGGATCATGTAAAAATAAATAAAAGACTCTGCAATCATTCTCAACTTTATGTTGTGCCTCCAGGGCCGCTGTAAGCCCAGTGGGCACTCATAAGCTGTTATACCAAGGAAGTGCCTCAGAGGGCAAAGCTGGGTGAGGGGGTGGGTGGAAGGGACAGCCATGCCTCCTCCTTCCACTCTGGGGGTTCCATGCAGCTGGAGGGGGAGACGTTTCTGTAAGTCTAGAAGGGCCTGACTTCTCTTGTCCTTGTAATGACTCATTTTCTGTCTCTCAGCCAAAGTCACTGTGATTTACTGATAGCTATGGCAGTACTTACAGTTATAAGAATTTATTAAATCACTGTTTATTAAATGTACCTTATGTAAATGAATAACACAGGCATGGTAGCATACTCACAAGTGTGAAACATCATAGAAATCATGAATATATAACACAATGCATACTTCTTTTAAGGTGAGAAAGCTGGGTTAAGTGGGGATCCATTGGTCAAAGCCTCAGGTCTATAAGGCTGCAGAGCTAGGATTCAAACCCAGGACTGTCCGACTCCAAATCCTTTGCTCTTCCCACAGCTCCAGTCTGCTTCCCTTACTGTCTCTTTCACTTATGTGCATACACACACACACACGCACACACTTTAACCATCTTGTTTTTGAAATCTGGACAGCAAGGAATCACCACCAAAAGCTCTTAATCCTTGTCTTAGGAATTAAAGAGACAGAACTTAGTAGGCTCAGACTCCTCAGAGGCAGAAGGTAGGTCTAAACTCATCCTGGAGCCACGCTGGAGAAAGTCAAATGGAACCTGAGCAATACGAGGCCCAGGAAAGTTCAAGGGCCAAGTGGGTACAGAGGAGGAAAGGATGTCTGGGAGGTGGAAATAGCCTCACAGGGGCTGCCTCTGAATTGAGCTTTGCGAGAAAGAAGGGGATCACTGTGAAGAGTGGAGATGGAGTGAGGCTTCGTAGGCAGGTGCAGCAGACACACAGCACAGAGGACTGTGATGAGACTTTCACGTAGACCCACCCAAATGGTGCCAAGGCCTTGGGACTGGGTGAAATCTCATAGCAGAGCCTGTGTGAAAAGCAGCAAAGAGCTTGAGAGGGCTTTGGCTGGTTGAGGGCTGCACATTCGCCCAGCATCTGTGGCTCTCTTTCTCCCTCCCCAGCAAAGCCTGGTCTCCTCTATGGAGTCTATATGATTTCTATGGAAACTAGTGCCATAGTTGGACCAAATGACCCAGACTAAGCCAATTAACACTTTCCCTCCCCCTGGTGGCAATGACTGATTCGGGGTGGGCAGGTGATCTAAACTAATGCAATCAAATTGAATCTCAGGTCTTTTACTGGAAATACGGACACATATAACATTAGAAGCCACTAACACTTCTGGGGATCACAAGGGAGGTCAGCCTTAGGATGAAACTGACAATAGGACAGGAGGAGCAGGGACACCGAAGGAACCACAGTCCTTGATGACAACCCTGAGCCACGGGCTCCAGCCTTACCTAAAGCCTGAATTGCCTGTGGACTTCAGCTCCAGCACCCATTACATTACCTCTCTCAGAGGTGCTACTTAATATCTACTAGGTGAATGAACGAATGGATCGTTACATCCACTCCCGTCACGTCTCATAAGAAGTGCTTTTTTTAATTAAATTTTTTTTTTTTTTTTTTTTTGCGGTACGCAGGCCTCTCACTGTTGTGGACTCTCCCATTGCGGAGCACAGGCTCCGGACGCGCAGGCTCAGCGGCCATGGCTCACGGGCCTAGCCGCTCCGCGTCATGTGGGATCTTCCCGGCCCGGGTCACGAACCTGTTTCCCCTGCATCGGCAGGCAGACTCTCAACCACTGCGCCACCAGGGAAGCCAAAAAAAATTTTTTTTTGACTGTGGACTCTGTGTCCCTTCTACAAAGCAGATGCTTTTCTATCAGTATGGGAACTCGAGTCGAGGTCTGAGCTTCAGGCGCTAACCGGGTACCCTAACCTACTGAGCTCAGTGCTGCTTAAGGTCCGTGATGCACGGGACGAGCTTATTCCGTCAGAGTAGAGCCGTCGTTCTCAACCAGGATGATTTTGTACAACCACCGCCACTGCTGCACGCCCACGCCCCACCCCTGCACCGACCCCAGGGACATTTGGCAATCTCTCAAGATATTGTTGGTTGTCACAACTTGGTGGGGGGGAGCGGTTGCTATGCAAATCTAGTGGGCAGAAGCCGGGGATGCTGCTAAACATCCTACAATGCACAGGGCAGGCCCCACA